AACGCGGTTACGTAATACCTAACATAATATGTTCGTGCTAGACATAATTGTTAATACATGTACCTGCAAACGCAATTTTGGAATCACGTCACAAAAAGAAGAAACACAGTTTGAGTAGTACCTGCTTTAAGACGGTATTTCGATGTCGTCCATGTATACACTTCGTCAATGTATAAGTTGTGGGTGACTGTAACCTTGTATGCCACTTCCACATAGTCAGAACCAGTATATTCAGTATGAGTAAATCCACTTTCAACTTTTTCATCTGTCTCTGTATTGCATGTACGTGTACAATTCGACCTATCAGATGATTGTATGGGACTTGGTCCACTGACTGTAACATCTTTTTCTTTTCCATTCTGTCATAACAAAATTTCATAACTAACATTTAGCAATCATCTTCTTGCTTATAATGTGGTTTAATTTTGATAATATTAACGTGATTATTATTGGAAAAAACAATCATTCATTGCTTTCGAGGCATCTCCCTTTTCCAGATCTTTAAATACTCATAACAACAGTTGTCAGGAACATTTGTGTTGAAGATTAAATACAACAAGTGGACATTATCTTTCATGAACAGACTCAACCAAAACGATTCTCAATTCTCATTTAATATATTGTTTTAAATGCTTTCGAAAAAAAAACTTCTTTCCGTTTTGTTTGTTTGTTTGATCTTTTGTTGTTTTTTTTAATGTGGTAAAAGAGTGATCCTTCGGAAGCATTTATCACAACAAAGTAACATGAAAACTTAAGTCTCGGTCTGTATAATGAGGGCTAATGAAAGGTGCAACATCCTCCATGCCCCTTGCACTGGCTATGCTGTAATCAATTTTCAACAGTTTTGGGATCATTGATGGCGAAGGACCATAAAATAGAACTGTAAGCGACAACTTTTTTTACAGCTGCCACACGGCACTTGACACTTGCTGTTGTGAATTATAAAAATCTGATAATGGGTTTATCCCTCGGAAGCTGTAATCACAATAAGATAACATGAATATTGCAGACTCGGTTTGACTGAGTATGTACATGAGTGATAATGAAAGGGTGCAACACATCCCTCACGCCTCCTAAAGTATGGTACTTGGAAACACAAAAGAAAAATCTCGCGGAAAAGGTGATCAATCGGAAGCAATTAATACATCAAAATTACATTAAAATTGCTGACATTGTTTGATTGAATCTGTAAATAAAAGATAATGAAAATGTACTCAATTTCAACAGGCCTAGAAAAGTATTTAAACACTGAACTTGATAACCTCCCCTTTCGAAATTCGCCATTTGCATTAGGAAAATATAACGTAATATAAAGAGTATGTATTTTAGTTATTTTTACTATCAATTCGGTCTAAGTTAAGGGAATCATTCGGTAAGTTTATATTTTTAAATGTACATTTATTTCTAACAATAATTTGTAGATAAAATTGCTTCAGGCAACAGACGCTTTTAAGGTTAAGTTAGAGTCAGTATCAAGAAAGGTTTATTATTATTATTATTATTATTATTATTATTATTGTTATTATTATTATTATTATTATTATTATTATTATTATTATTATTATTGTTATTATTATTATTATTATTATCATTATTATTATTATTATTATTATCAACATTGTTATTATTATTATTATTATTATTATCATCATTATCTACAAATAACGAGTATTAATTTTGGTATGGTTATGATATTATCCATGGCTTGTTTGAGCGTTTTGAAAGATTGTTGAGGTACGGCGACTTTCTGTTAGATGATATAATTAAGTTTGATGGAATTTATATCTTACAGCACGTTTTAAAAAGAACGTTTCAAAAGGGAAAGATTGTCGTTGAAATCTTTTAGTCGTTTGAATAGATAAATACAGAATCCCTAAAGAAAGCCCAACACGGCAAAATTGAAAATGTTGCAGGCTCGGTTTGATTGAGCCTGTTCATGGACGGTACTGGAAAGTGCAAGTTACCGTCCACGCCCCCTAGCACCGAAGTTGACACTCAGAATAATTGGGTTTCTACGCGTGGTAGGGAACTTCATGTCATGACTATGCAGTTTTGTTGCTCAGTACGAGCAACAATGAGACCAGTTTCGAACTACATTTTTGCAAACCAACTTGTGGTCTCAACTTTAAAGTAAGACAGCATTGTTTCCCTGAACACGACACACAGGAGTCAGATATAACTGTAAATAACAGTTATTTTGTTGATGTTGCTGTTGTTTTCTTTTTTCTTTTTTTGTGTCTTTTTTGTGTTGTTGTGGTTTTCTTTTGTATTTTGGTTTATTGTTCCTGATTTTTTCATTTCATACACTCATTGGAGGGCTTTTCTCTGACTCCAAAATATAAAGACAAAATCCCTTAAGAACGACCAAACGGAATAATTGAAATTGTCGCCGGCTCGTTTTGATTGACCTTGTTCATTAACGGTTCTGGAAAGTGCACGTTAACACCCACAAACTATTACAAACTAATATCAAAAAGGAAGGGCGGCATTTATTGAACGCATCCCCCAACACAGAACCACAGGCAAGGAGCCCAGCAGGACGAAGCAGACGGGCCAAAATAACGGACGGAAAAACACTACAAGCTGATTGCTAGAAAAGTGCTTGCAAATAGATGAAACACAACTATCAACTTACCTCAATTTTGTACCATGTCACAGTTATGTCAGATGTTGGGAAAACACATCCGGTATTGACCATAATTTGGCCATCTGTATTAGCTCCAGGTTCATGTGCTGCAATACTGCTTTTGTCAAAGTCTGCAATGTAAAGAAAAAGTGCATCTTTAACATGAACAGACTCGGTAAAAGTATGGAGGGCGTTCGTTGCCAAAATTCCAGACATATAAATTTTTCCTTTGGAAGATGCGAACATGTATGTCTAGCATTTTTGATTGAATTCGTGCACAGCAAATGATATGCCTCCTAATCCAATATTTTAATTGAAGGCACCCGCATTTAAATAACATGTTTACATCTAGATCTTAACAACTGACTTAACATGAAAAACAGCATCAAATTTACAGTTTCGTATCTTCCATTGCATATAATACACAAGCAAGTTTGCACACTTATAGATCTGAACCTGAGATATATAAAAGTAATGTAAAACTCGAATACAGAAAATAGACTTGAAGAAAATGTGTTTTCAGTTGTAGAACTACAAGAGTACGTTTACACAGTAACATGTTTAAAATGACAAAAATACATTCACAAAGTTAAACGATTTTAAATCATGCATGACGCCCCGCCCATCTTTTAGTATTTATGAATTTCTGTTACGGAAATGTAAGGACAGGTATAAAACCTGACGCCTCTCCCTTATTTCTCAATAAAGTGAAAGAAAACACGGCGTCCCTTGTAACTTTTTATATTTAAAAAAAATGGTATCGTAATTATGTAATGCCTAAATATAAAAATGAATTAAGGGGAAGTATTAAAATTTTCTTTTCTAAGTTTATCATGTTACTTTCTGGAACCCACACTCTGAAATTCAATAAAAAAAGGGTCTTTCATGAACTTTCTAGTGATGCCTTAAAAATAAAAAATAATTATGTAAAAAAAAAATTCCAACTTTTTGTTATTTTATTTTCTCTCTCTCTCTTAAAACCACACTCATATATTCGGCAAGAAAATCACGGCTCCGTTTAGATTTATAAATTAATCAATTTCAAAATAGAAAATGAATTTAGAATGAAAGTTTAGACTTATATTAAAAAGTGCAAATGTATTTATTCATACTAAAATACCTTATTAAAGATTGCAAATACGTGTTACGGATAAGTACTTTCTTGATTTCGGAAAGAAAATCTCGGTGGCCGCTTTAAAATCCTATTTTTTCCAATAGTCGCATAGATTTCGTTTAAAATGAAATTTGTGCCAATACATTTTTTCAATGATACCAATACACATATTTGCTGGTTTTTATATTATGAATAAAATTACTCGCTTAAAGTTGATCATTTTCCCCTTAAAATTTCCAAATCGCCGATGTTTCTCAGGAAAACACGAGGTTAAATAATAAGTTAGTGCATATGTTATGTCAATCATTTTGTGTAAATAAATGGTAAAATTAGAAATTTCCAGGTGATTAAGCTAGTGATAAAACTTTTGTTACAAATACAATAAAAATATGTTAAAATACGGCGTATTTCCCTTCAGTTTTATTTAGAAATATTGGAGAGGCGCCGGGCTTTATACATGTCCGCAATAGAAGTTCGTAAATACTCAAAGAGGGGTGGGGGGCATCATGCATGACTTAAAATCGTTTAACTTTGTGAATCTACTTTTGTCATTTTAAACATGTTTCTGTGTAAACGTACTCTTGTAGTTCTACAACTGGAAACACGTTTTCTTAAACCCTATTTTCTGTATTCGAGTTTTTTACATTTCAATTGTATATTTTAGGTTCAGATATATATCTATTAGTGTGCAACTTTGCATATGTATTGTATGCAATGGAGGTACGAATTTGTGAATTTGTGAATGTTCATTCAGTTGTTAAGATCTACACGTAAACTTGTGATTTAAAAGCGGGTGCCTTCAATTAAAAGATTGGATTCAGAGACATATTAATTGCTTTGCACGAATATAATCAAAAAATGCTAGACATACACGTTTGCATTTTCAAAAGTAGTTTTCTAAAGGAACACATTACATGTCTAGAATTTTGGCAACCAACGCCCTCCATATAAAAGAAACAAGAATAGTGAAACAATTGGTTAAAGGCCGAAAAGATAGTTCTGTCTTACGAAGCTGATTAATTTTAGAATAATATGTTTAAATAGGTAACTGAAATAGGAGTAGTTTCTTAAAGTAAAAGAAAACTGCATCTGTAAAACAAAAGTCGAAAGGATTTTGCAAAACAAAAATTAAATAACATTACTAATTTAATAAACAGAACGAATATATGCATGTATTATACGTATTTTTTTTTTTCGTGAAAATAATCTGAATCATTACTCTTTTTGTATGGTTAATAAGCAGAGTCAAAATACCTGCTATTGAGGTTATGGCAGACACTTCTTCGCCCGTGATTGGGTCTCTGCAACTATATGTTGCACAATTTGTGTACGAGTAAGGGCTGACCGCGATGTAAAATTCATCACTAGACACAGATGATGTGTACTGTAAAGAAGGCGGAAAACAATTGTCTTCAGTGCCTGAGCAAGTATTAACAATTTGCGAGTTAAGTCGCCATTCAACACCATTTTTAGTTGGGTTTCTACAAGTGCATGTCATATTGGATAGATATCCAGGCACACCAGGAACACAACTTAAGGTTAAACCTGAAATAAATATATAAATATGAGTCAAAAAGATTTCAATACACCTGACGTTAATGAATCTAAATAGCCTTGTATTATTCTTCGGGTTGTAAAATGAGACATTAAAGAAATCGTCTCTTTTTTACAGATTGATGATGTGTTTTTACGTTTAATACCTGTGTTACGATATATTGTAACAGAACATAGGGTCTTTAAAGCCACTTTTGCAAAATCTATGTCAGTATGCAATTTCAGTCGTCTTGCTATTCGGCATAAGTTTGCCATTAATGGCCAGTGAATGAGCGCACGTGCAAAATTACGTTAACAACTTTGGTTAACAAAGATTTTTAATTCAAATAACTGTGCCAGAGCGAAAAAGCGACCAACAGAAAATCCTTATATTACTTAAGAAAGGCGGTAGACATAAACAGAACAAAGGGTTATCAAACAAATAGAAGTCAAATGTAAATCAATTATAAATCTAGATCTAGGGCTGCATTTCCAGATTAATCATATGAAACAAGTCAAAATTCAAGGAAAATATCTACATCCGTGGCCGGGGGTCATCTAAATGTAGTTGAGTTGTGACTTGTTAGCAGCTGATCAATTCAAACACTCGGTCTGACAAGAACAACAAATACATTACTTGTTTCTCTTCTTTATTTTATGGCATCATACAGTTTGTATTTGTTTTTTTACAAAGAAACACCGGAAGTGTGTAGCTAGTTTGATATACTAAAAAGCATATATTTGCTTACATTTCTTAGACAGTGTAACGACGTAGATTTGCGGCGATGTCTAAACGACGTTTTATATATGCGATAATGTCAAACGGCGTGTAGCAACCAATTAAGTGATAGATCGTATCGTGTAATTTAAAGGAATATATATTACAACAAATGATGGTCACGTGACCTTTCAACTTACCGTGTGCAAAATGAAAAACAGCTGTTGATATCAGTAGTTTAAAAATCATGGTGAGTCTGAAAATAAATTAAAAATATTGTTGATACTTGAATTAAAACAAAAACTATAAGATGCTTGTTATCATTTAAAACATTACTCATTCAGTATGTTATTGATGATTCAAAAGTCCAAACAAAGATATTCCGCCGGCATGGATATTAAAGATCAGAAATATTTGAAAATATTTATAAAAGGATGTTATCGAAATAGAGCTTAATTTATAACACCAAGATTTTGTCAACTATTTAGTCAAATAAAAGTCCATAAGGATATCTTGTTTTCCAATGGTGTTTGTAAATTCCATCCTAATACTGTCAAAAACATTTAAATTTATAATCATTTGTTCATGTTTTGTATGATTACTATTCAAAACAAATATCTTTTCCCAGTACGTTGGGGCTAGACTATACAAATACAAAATTGCATTATAATGACGCATTTTTTACATTTTTTTTATAAATGCAGACCATTTAGCAAGTATACATACGGCACCGAACGTTTTAGTTTATTTATGTGCTTTTGCAACATGTTCTATACTTATGTATGAACGAAAATCAACAGTTAATAAAAATCCGTATCTGATCAGTAAGTGTAAAACGAACACGAATGGGTTATTAAACATTTAATTAAAATTAGCATGGTACTTGTCGGTAAGTAGAATAAATACTTCAAAGACTATCTTATTTCTCAGAGGTTTTCTTAATCAGTCAATCTGAGACTGTTTGCAAATGAAATAAATGGAATAAAAAACAGCAAGATTGCAAATGTTGCAGGTTCGGTTTGAACGACAAGTTCATGGACAGTAGTGGCAATTTCACTCACCCTAGCACATTTAAATTTTCTTCATTGAAACTGAAACGCTCACAGCTTTGATAATTGGCAAGTAGCATTTCCTAGAGGACATCAATAAATGCTTTAAAATGCATGATCAAATGACATTCTTATCTGACCTATTTAAGGAACCTCGCATTGAAAAAATATGACCTTTCTAGCAATATACCATGGAGCGATCCAGGGCGATCATGGCTATATGGTTTTATTTTTTAGCTGCAATACAAAATACCCTAATGATCAAAGTGAGTATTTTCAGTTCTGTGGAAAAAAAATATTTTTTTAATATATCTTATGATTATTTTAGAATGCATATCATGAGTATTTTAACAGACTAAATCTGACCAAATTATATCCAGAAAATGAAAACAAAATGTTTGCATCTCACTATTATTCCATTTAATTTACCAGATTATTTCTTTAATTGTATGAAGGGTTATTTGTAATTCTTGACGACATACAACTGATAAAGAATACTTTATAATTATGTTGGCCAATACAAAGCCATTTTAACAAGAATTTTGTAAATAAACACAGTATTACTATTGTCCTTTTGATCCCCTAAATGATTGCAAAAATGTTTTGCTTAAATTTAAAATATGTTTTGCCTATTCAAGTCACATTTACTAACATGTCAGCAGCCGTGCAGTATCTTATATCATATACTCCTGTAAGAGTTATACCTTTGATTGAATCTTTCTGTTCTTAATTTAATGTAATGTCTTTAATTGCGCATCATTTTAATCAAATAATAATTTATATTAGCAGTACCTGGTTGTTGTTTATTTACGACGTACAATGTTTTGTACGAAATCAAGATGATTGCTTTGGCGTTTGCGAATAAAACAAAATTAACACTTCGATCGTTTATTGCTAAAGTTTTTGTAAAGTTCCAATAGCCGGCCTTTACCAACACAAGTGCTCGTAAATAATAGTTTGCTGTTGCAATCGTAAAACTTACAGTTACGTGAATAATGCCAAAATCATTTGGACGCTTTACTTTATGTCCCTTATTCAGAGATTATGACTGAAATTGTCGGAATGTTTGTCAGATGTTATTTAAATTAAACATAATATTTTACGTTCAACATAGACACTATCACATATAATTGTAAAAAGCATCTTACCATGTGTTGGAGAGAAGATAAAGGAGACAAAACGCGGTCCGTTCACGTCTTTTAAGTATAATCGCACACATATGAATCCTTATAATCACTTGTCATTTAAATATTTTATTTAAGAAATTATATCAACGCTTATGATTTGTGGCAAACAATATTTAAACAATAGACGAACACTATCCTATTCGTTTGATACAATGTTAAATTTATCAAGCTATGTTATTGAATTTTTACACCTTATAATGTCTCATTCGTCAATATGTAATATCGCCCTTTATATCTTCATTCTCAATTATAATTAGCCAGCTGATCTTTGCGTGAGTTTAAAGATCAAATATCTTTTGTATTGAAACTATTCTCATATCAACATTTGTTGGGAGAATAAAGAATATAAACCGTCTATTATGTTAAAGGAATTTAAGATAAACTTCAAAGCGTAAACGTTCAACCTAAAATTATTTAATAATCGATGTCATTACTTATTGGTATGCTACTTTTATCCAATGTTGTCGAAACACGTGTTTATGTTGCGTGTCATCTTCTGTCAATTCAAATTCGATGTTTCACCATTACAGTTGGTTAATTTATTAGTAAAAGGTGGTCTGATTGTAAATAAGTATTTCAAATATTGATAAGAAATAATAGAAATGTATCATTTAGGTATTCCTACAAAATATTTCGTGAAAGAAAATGTGATCCAGTTCTATGTGATCTCGTTTCAACATTTATATGATGAATAATATTTATTTTTTGGTTCTTGAATATTATCTGTATATAGAATTAAGCAGTACCGGATAATGTATCTAACACTTACCACCGACATAAAAGTATTGTTTGATTTTATTAACCTGTCAATTCCATACTATTTATACGGTCAATGCACAGAATATATTAATTTTCGATAAATTTTCGGTACATTTCATGAGATGTACTCAATAAAATATGTGATTAAATTCAACTTGTTTCTATGTTTTAGTTACGCTGACCGTTATCACGGGGGAGAATCACGCCGTTCGTTACCCAAACAATCAAGATGGCGGATGGAGCAAAAAAGTAGGTTTTTCCCTTTTTTCTCATAAAACATACATTACATGAACCATTAATGCAAAATTGTTGTATATTAATCGATTTGTAATACATAAACGCAATTACCATATGTTTATACACATATCCTACAAAACATAAAGGTCCTTTCGCATCAATTGCGGATTTCATAATTGTAATTGAAAGGAACGTCATAATTTGATCAAAGCAATTACATGCAAGATCATGCCTATCATATTCTGGCGTTTTTTTTCCACAAACGCCCAAAAAAAACCAATAATTTCTTTTTTAAAAAGTATTGCATGTATCAGCAAAAAAAGAGTGACAATGGAATTTGCTTATTAATTTCTAGTGGTAAATATAAAGTGCATAGTAAGTATGAAAGAGAGATAATAACGTGTAAAAAGAAAGGAAAGATAAATGAAGAATGAGAAGAAAAAAGGGTGAGAAAAGATAAAAATTAGTTATGTCCCTATTAAAAGATAGTTGAAAAAAAAAAACATTTATAATGATATTTTACAAGCTAATACTTAGTAAAAAAAAATATCTAAAAAAATAAAAAATGGAGAAAATATAAGGAATGGACTAAACGGTGATAAGAATTGAGATCGTTTCCTTTTCTATTTGTATATGTATAATTATACAGTAAAAACTGTTTACAGTGACCTTCGATCGGGAAAAAGAAAAAAGGTCATTATAGACAGGGAGTCACTGTGGACAGTCCCTACATAATTCGGATATATGAACATATCATACCAATATATTGTTGAAAAGCAGGAAAATACCATACTTAGGGTTTAATTATATTTTTATTGATATTAACATACCAAATATCATTTATAAAAAACAGGACAGTATTAAAATTGCATGTATAATTGGTTAAGATTATAAACTACACCATTACATTAGCATTTAAAAGTTACATATTGATTAAAATGTAATTTATATTGATAAATCTGTTTGTAAAAAAATGTTTAATTTCAATTTTACTAATGAGATGTTAGAGACATTTAATTTTGTATAATCAGCCTGTTTACTTTACGGAGTTCAATGTATTAATAAAACATTAGATACAAATCTTCACATAATTTCTACAGATAAGTGCTCCGAAAAAAATTTTAACAATCGAGGTTTCGAACATAACCACACCTTTAAGACATTGGGCATTGTTTATCTTTACTCGCCAAAACACCGCAGCAATTATGTATATGCAGGTGTCTTTAATCACTCAATCGGTGAAAATTGATTGAATCTGTCGCCATTTTGTGTAATTGTCAACAAACAGCCACAGTGTATTAGCGTGTCGCCGATTGGTCAATGCAAACTGCCGTAGATACAACGCGCGTTCTGATTCGTCAATCGCATGAATACATAATGAGAAAGATATACATAGTGAACTCTTGCCTTGCGGCGTGTATTAGACTTTGTTGATGTTGACACGCGTTCTTAACAAACGGATTAACGGTAATTGGTTGTAATTGAGAGGTTTGTTTGTTTGTTTTTTGGGGTTTTACGTCACATCGACACAGTATAAGTCATATCGCGACGTTCCAGCTTTACTGGTGGAGGAAGACCTCAGGTGCCCTTCCGTGCATTATTTCAGGCACGAACGGGTACCTGAGTAGAACCACCGACGTTCCGTAAGCTAGCTGGATAGCTTCCTCACATGAAAGAATCCAAAGTCCCTGTCGGGATTCGAACCCACAGAGGTGAGGGGCAAGTGGTTTGAAGTCAACGACCTTAACCACTCGGCCACGGACGCCCCAAATTGAGAGGTAAACACATTGTTAACAACCTAGCGGCGTAAATAAGTATGACAGATCATTAAAAAAAATCGGGCGACTTCAAATCTCTTTGAAGTTTGTTAAAGGCGAAGTCGCTGATCCGAAAGCGACTTCTTCGCCCGAGTCGCCCTCTAGCTCAAGCCCTGCTCCCCTTGAAAAAGTCGCTTTTCACAGCGCAAATACCGTGACGGGTGACTTAATCATGGTCGTTGTACTGACTAGACAGGGAGTCGCTACATACAGACCATTAATATAGTAAATACTGGTCGGTGCATCTAACTATGGTCACTAAAGACAGAACGTCGCTATATACAGGGGTCACTAAGACAGTCTTTACTGTATGTCTAAATTGTGTGGTTTTGGGGTCTTTAAAAGTTAAGTTTCATTGAAATTTGACCATTTTTCTTCAAAATTGTGTAGATTGTCTTGTATTAATGATATTTCTTTTTCAATTCTAATCCTGTAAGAGAGAAATGGCATAAATTTTTCAAAAGTGGGTATATTTTTGCTATATTTCATTTTAAATATGAAGTATTTACACAGAATTATGATAAAATTTACAGTGTTATGTTTACCTAATATACCGAAACACACCTGTCTTAAGTTTAGAGGTATTTCATAACCTTTAGAGAATAAAAATGTTTGAATTTTGTTCCAGAAAACTTGTGTTTATTGACATTCCCATATCAAATGTTCAATAGATTCTATCTCCATAGAACAAAAATCACACAAATTGCTAGATGATAATTTGCATTTAAAAATATATTTATTTGTTGGGACTAAACGCATTAAAAATTTGAAAACTACGAAGATTGGTGTCGATTGTAGACTTAAAAGGTATATTAAATATTGGTTTCCAATCTATTGTCATTAAATATGTTTTCCCATTTTATGGATGCAGTTGGTTTTTCAACAGTTATTGCATTCATTTGAAGTTTATACAACAGCTGATTTGGTGACTTTGTTTTTTTTTCAGTTTTTCTATTAGAACATCTTCTTTATTCCTATAGAGAAAATACATTGAAATGTTTTCTTTAAGGCACTTTGGGATAGCTGAGATTAATTTGTGATATTTTAAATAATCTTGTGTATCAAGACTTAGAAGTTGTTTTGCTATTTCAAATTTATAAAAGGCTTTTGTACGAAAATCAAAGAGTTGGTCTATATAATTTATTCCTTTTTCATGCCATTTTTTCCAGTATATTGTATTTTGTTGTAATTTTATCTCAGTATTGTTCCATATAATATGTTTTCTAATTTCATTTCCATATATATTAGAGGAGTTTACTACGGAAAACCATGAAATTAAGATATATCTTAGAAATGTATTCGTTTTACAGATTCTTGAAACATCATGAGAACTAAGATTACATTCAAAAATAAATTTACCACCAAATGGTTTTAATATATTCTCAAAAAAGGCTTCCCAGTGTCCATTGCTTTCATTTGAAATCAATCTCTTTACCAAGCAAACTTTAATTGAAGATTAAAATGATTTTATATCTGTTAATTTTAATCCTCCTGCATCATAGTTGTTTATAATGGTTTTACTCTTAATTGTATCTGTTTTACCATCCCATAAGAAGTTAAAAATTGCTGTTGTTAATTCTTTAATAGTATGGTCAGGTGGGTAAATAGATAAATTAGTTTTGGTAATGCAAATGTCTTAATTACTGTGACTGTGTCCATCAATGTTAGTTAACGGTGTTGCCACTGTTTTAAGCATGTTTTAAATTCTTGTAGTTTAGGTTGTAAGTTTAGCATATTCATTTCGGAGTCTGTGTAAAAAGTTATGCCAAGTGTTTTCGCATGTTTTGATGTCCAAGTGAAATTCATATTTTCTGCATATTTTAAATTTATTGTTTTGAGGGCTCAAACTTTCAATACAACTGATTTTGATGTATTTAGTTTGAGACCAGATATATTTCCAAATTCATTAATGACTTTGATGAGTTTTTCAAAAGAATATTTTTGTCCATTATTTATATATGTTGCATCATCAGCAAATAATGTCTGTTTTATTTTCTTTATTATTTATTAAAAATCCCTGAATATCATTATCTTTTGCAATCCTGTCTGTTAAAAGTTGAATACATATGATGAATAAGGAAGAAGAAAGGGGACATCCTTGTCTTACTCCCTGTTGAATATGAAAACTTTCTGACATGTGACCATTATTTATAATTACACTATTAATTTTGTTATAGAAGAGTTTAACCCATGAAATAAAAGATTCACCAAACTGAAAATAGTGAAGACATTGAACAATAAAATCATGATTTAAGCTATCAAATACTTTTTTGATAATCAGAGAAGAAAAGAAGACCAGACTTGTTATTTTTTTCA